TTATTATAATGTATTTTGTGTTAGTGCATCCTTTATAGTTTGCACTAGGATTTCGTTAAAACTACAGCATTTTGGTTGTTGGTGTGTTTTAGGACATTGTTTTGCATTATGGTTTAAATCCACAAGCAACACATTGTGATTTACAAGTGATGCAACATGACCGTAGTTGTAGCATTGTGTTACTGTGATCGCTGGCATTTTCGCTTTTTCTACGAGATATCTTTGATACCAAAATATGATACCATTGTTGATTTGTTCTTGTATATTATGTGTGTTTTATGTGTATACTTTTATTAAGTTTGTTGGTGCTTGTGTTCGTTGTGAAATGTCTCTTTTAAACTTTTCTTTGTGGAATGTTAATATCAGTTAAAGCCTCTTTGATCTCTTCCATGCCTATGCTATATTATATGCCTCTGATAACAAAAGCCTTAGCTTGGGGGTTGTTTCCGGCTAGGTGTAGGTTTACGTTTCCTGGTTGGAAGGCATCCTTGCAAGAGGGAGTTAAGATCTTTGTAGTCAGTGCCCTTTAATAAGACGTCACCTATCCCTTGTTGTTTAATTTGTGTACTTGTAACATTAGGCTTACATCTTTTAATTTCTTGAGCTAGTTGTGAACTTTGTATGAGCTGGGAATGCTTTCAATTATGATTGCATTCAGAAATTTCTTTACTACCAAGCTACAGACTATGACCAGCGCCCCCACAAAACATTTTCCCTGTACAACATGTACCTTACCTCCAAGACAGGTTAAACAATTTTTGATAAAGGTTTATTTCTAAATTCTATATATAAAAATTAATTATTTCTTGTGCTATTTTTTATTTCAGCACTGAGTACAGAACATGTAGAATATTCGGCGTCTGCCTTGTGGAAGTGGGTTATCTCGGGGTACTCCCGTTTCCCCCACAACAAATACTAAGGCACTTGGATTTAATGATCCCAGCCACCCTGTGTCTCTGATCATGTGAAGTTTATTTCACTGTACTTTGTCGAATGTTTGTCGCCTTGCTTCTTCTGAACGACGTCATGCCATCGGTCTAGGTTTTCTATTTGCCCTGGAACCCTCCAGATATGCCTCTGTTTCTCTCATTTCTCCATAGTCCAATCCATATCTTTCAATTCACTAGACAACGTAGGACCAACCTCTCCACCTAAAATTAAACATCCCACGAATGTAACAAACAAATTATCGCGAACGGGGTGAAAGGGGATAACAATATCTCTTAACATCCCAGCCGAGGAAGCGTCTTTCCTTTAAATACTAAATTCCTGTCACGAAATTTTCAGTTTATTTTCGTATAATTTTATGATTGCATGTTTCGGTGGTGTTGATTGTCTATTATTGTATGTTATCTAGGCGTTTTGCATTTAATGCTTAAGTGTGGTTTTTGGTTGTTATTTGTTACTGCAATGGAGCCAGATTCATCTTTGTTTATGTGGTCCTCTGTATTTTTTTGTGTTTGCATTTTATGTTCGTTTTGTATGTTGTTCTCCACGTCAATTTCCAGTGTATTGTTATCATCCTTATATTCTACATTAGCATTTAATTTCTATTGTGATTTGCTTATAGTATCTATTTCCTTTTAGTTATTTTTAATTTCAAGGCTTACTTCAGACTTTTTTGGTTCGGACTGAGATTTTGGGCTTAGTTTGGCTATTTCGTTTTTACTACAGTTTAAAAGGGATGATAACTGAAATGATATTTGACTACTACTACTTAAGAATAGGCCACCTATACTTGGTTTACCGTTTGATATTGAATGTGTGGGCTTCATCTTAGTTTTTATTGTCGTGGATTTGTCCATTTTCACTTTAACATATTTGGCACTTATTACATATTTGGCACACGAGTTAATGTTTTTGATTTACCACTGTCTCTGTGGTATAGTATTGATGGTCTTTTTCTTCTTTGATGTCCCCAGTTGATCTTCTTGTGCCGAAGTTGGAAAGATATCTTGAGGTACGTCTGCACAGCAGGAACCACAGAACAGGAATTTCAAAAACGAAGAAACTAAATGTGGCAGGAATTTTTGTTTGAGGGAAGAGAACACAACATGGGAGTTGCAAGCTCTTCACAACAGGGGTGTTTCCCCTTCAACCCCTCGTGTAAATTTGTTTAACTTCGAGGGATTGTTAGATTTTGACTGCGAGGATTATATCTAAAATAGCTGTTTTGTTGGAAAGCCGTGAAGAAGGTGGGAGAAAAACACAAGGATCTTGACGTTGAAATTTTTGATTGGTGTTGTCAGTTGATGTTGTAAAGAGACCAAAGCATGTGACCGAAAAATCTAGTTTCAACTTACTCTACTTAGTGGTTTAATTTATGTTTAATGCACTTCATTTGTTAAGGTGTCAATTGGCATTATAATTATTTAAATATTAAATATAATTGATATGTTATTGAACTATTTTTGTTTGTTTTGAATTTCGCGCAAAGCTACACGAGGGCTATCTGCGCTAGCCGTCCCTAATTTAGCAGTGTAAGACTAGAGGGAAGGCAGCTAGTCATCACCACCCACCGCCAACTCTTGTGCTACTCTTTTGCCAACGACCGTCACATTATAACGCCCCCACGGCTGAAAGGGCGAGCATGTTTGGTGTGACGGGGATTCGAACCTGCGACCCTCTGATTGCGAGTCGAGCGCCCTAACCATGCCGGTCCCGAATTATTTTTGAAAGAAAACCAACGAGGTAAATGGCCCTTTTTAGGGGGACTGGGACAAAAAGGTCTAACGCCCGAGTGAGTTTTGTTGCGGGAGAAAACCGGAGTATTCAAACCTACTTTCACAGAACAGACGCCGAATAATCTATTTGTCTCGTGCCCTGGCTCTAAATAGAAAAATGACAGTTAGCGAAACCACGACATAATATTTATAGTTACCTTTCCTTTTTCTATCGCAACCAGAGCTGAAAGTGTGGAATTGTTAGGCATTATCACCTCTCGAACCTTGGCCCCTTCGATATGCAGTAGTCTTGCTTTTGTTTGTCTGAGAAAGTGTCAGTAGTTTCTTGAATTTGTAGCTCTGATAATGAACCTTATTATAAAGTCGTTAACCTTTCTGTGTAGTTGTGCAACTATGTCTAGAAAGAACCAAAATATATTTATTTGATTTTGTATTTCCAGAAGGAAACAAGAGGAATTTCGGAAATATTTCAAATGGTCATTTAGATGAAGTAAATAATGTTTTCTTCGTTTTATTTTTTACAGTTAGTGGTTCAGTTTCGGTTTGTTTGTCTGTGGCACAAAGTTACACAAAAGGCTACCGCCGCTCTGTTCACCATTGGGAATAGAACCTCAAATTTTACCATTGCAAAACCATGAACTTACCTCTGACCCACATGCGGACTTCAATTACGGAAAGTACGTAATTACAAGAGGAAGTATGATAAGCACTTACTGTTGGGTTGTTTGAGGAAATGAACGTTAAAGGACCAATGTCCCCAGATAGTTCTTTTAACTATGAATGCTTCTTCCCTGTACATTAATATTCCAGAAAAAAGTCTTGGAGTTTTAAAAACTGCAATTACTTTAACTAATCTGTCCGAATATTAAAAAATCAGACAGACTTCTCTTAACCTTGATATTAGCCTTGAATGACTTAGAATTCAACAATCAGCATTACATTCAGGCTAACGATACTGTCATGGGTACCAAATTGGATCTTAATTTTGCTATGATATTAATGCTTGGAGAAAAGCAGTGTGAAATCACATATCTGAAATGTTACATTGCTTACGTGTATTTGGGCAGCCGATTGTGAATCTTTCTAAAACTTCTTTCGACACGCTAACTTCTTCCAAAATATTATTTAGTTTAAACTTCACCATTCACCCCCACACATTAATGTTCTTGATGTTGCTGTTTCTATAAAACACAGGATTTAACACACTATCTTATACAGATATCATGATCTTTCTTGATGTTGCTTTTTCTATAAAACACAGGAATTAACACACTATCTTATACAGATATTACCGAGATTGTCAGCAATTTGTCCAGCTCTACCTCGCTTCATTTGGCAGAGCTAGGTATAAAAATTGGTATACAGGTGTTCTTCACATATGCGCTGTACATATTAAGCGATAACGGTGCGGTAACTAAACAATATCAAGGAAAAAAAATTCTGTCTATTCATCCATCTCCTACAAACGGAGCTCACCACTCTAGACCAAACTTGGCATGCTAACTTAGTAGTCCAAAAGTAAACCAAATCCATTCATTAGAATATAGTTTTCCGTAGAAGCAAAATTCAAGATTATTATTAAATTTAATGCATAAGACGTACTAAATTCATACAGTAGAAATCTTGACCACATCTTTACTGTGAAATGGGCTGCTTTGGACGAGAAGTGACGCAACAGCTTTGCGATTTCTGCCAAGTTTCGACTTCTACACTTCCTCACGTCCGATCCACTTCCCGGTCTTACAACATTTTTTTTTTTTTTTTTTTTTTTTTTTTTAGAATGAACGCTAATGAAAATCCTCGTAGAGATTTTGCTTGTTTTAAGCCGATTTGTGCGTGTTTCCCACATTTTGAAGAGAAAATGTTGGAAGAGTACAATATTCTTAAAGTAACCTGCAAGACTTTTAAGGTAAGACATATAAAGTATATTACAAGAGCTTGGAAAATAAAGCTCATTATGGACTGAGAGTTTACGTTTACTTGTAGACTTTCACCAGATCTATCGGGCTAACACCAAGAGAAGAGCTAGGTATGCAATTTATCTCTCAAAAATTATTCAACTTGCACATCTAGTTAATTTTTACTTTGACTAGTTACTCATTATTCAGAAGTATTAACGAACGAACGTTTTGACGACTGCTATATTAATAGTACGTAGAAAATAAAACGGCAAAGAAGAAAAGTAATTACTTGCTGGGATTAAGTGGTCAGTACGTTTCTATAACAGATTATTATTATTATCATGATCTTAGCTTATCAACAGATAGAAACACGTCAATAAATTAAAAACACTAATGACATACAGATCATACATACATTTTATTTTCCCAAAACAGACTCTAGAATTTTTGTTGTGGTTACAATATCCGCTGAAGTCTGTGGCAGCACTGTAGGAAGGAAAAACAAAACACAACAAAAAACAACGAAAATTAATCTTTAGTATTACTAAAATAAAATAAATAAAACTTCGAAATTTTCTGATCATAATTAGCAGAACCATTGATTTTGAAATTCAACACCTGTTTAATATCAAACTTGTCTATTTGAGAACACTTAAAAATAATTGCCAGAAATGTGAGAAGTACGAAAAAAATTTGTATTTTCACATCAAATTAATGTTTTTGTTTTGGGACAAGGTTAGATCAATATGATGAGAAGTTAAAGTAATTGGCTTATCCACAATCTCACCGTAGTGTCGCAAAGAAGGTTTCATGTTGTATCATTTCAAATAGCTATAAATATTAGGTCGTCAAGGAATTAATGTCGCTGTTTTTAGATGAAAAAACCCGAACTTTTATATCAAAATAAAACATTTAAAAAACTCCTATGGTACAAAAGAGAACTCAAGAACAAAATTATATCTGAAAATGTTGCTTCTTCGCTTTATCCCACTGGCTCCCGTCCTGGTATGTTATATGGCCTTCCCAATATTCATAAAGCAGGTTCCCCCCTCCGACCCATTCTTTCCAGTACAGGCACACCTAGTTACAAACTTGCTAAATTCCTTATACCTATACTTCAGCCACTCACAACTAATGAGCATACTATCCCTCATTCCTTCCACTTTGAACGTGAACCAAGTTTACTACCTCCCTCAGATAATTTCTTCATGGCGAGATTTGATGTTACCTCCCTCTTTACAAATATTCCTCTACATGAAACTATTAATATATGTATGTATATCTGAGCTTTCACGTAATAACATTCCTTTAAATGGCTTTTCTGAAAATCAAATTAAGGTCATGCTGGATCTTACCACTATAAATTTATATTACCTGTTCAACAACACCTTGTATGAACAAATAGATGGCGTTGCGATGGGCTCCCCACTTGGTCCAACTTTAGTTAATGCATTTCTCTCTTATTACGAACAGAAACGGCTTGGCACCTGCCCAGTTAACTTTAGGCCTGTTCTGTACAGAAGGTATGTGGATGACACTTTTTATTCTTTTTAATAATAGTGATCAATGCTCAACATTTTTAGAATACCTTAAATCACAACGTCCTCGCATAAAATGTTTCATCACCGGTGACAGTTCTGTCCAAAAATGGTTTACGCGCCGTAAGAGACGGAAATACGTTCACACGTTGGAAACGATGATCATCGGAGAGTTCGTAAGGCACCCAAACACCTTCTTTATGGAGTTTTCCCATATTCCTTAGATGTTTACGTATTGTTTCACGAGAGACATGCAATTTCAGGGCCATTTCACGAGTATGTTGCTTTGGGTTACACTCAACAGGCGTCTTCAGAGCATCAATATTGTTGCGTCAGCGAGGTCACGTGACTAGTATCACGCCACGTCCTTCTCGAACCTTCGTGAATTATCGGGAGACTACTAGATTGGGGTAGTCTGGTATATATAAGATCGTCACAACGTGACGGA